TATTTAGTCGTTTAAGCGCCCCCCCCCCCCCCCCAATCAGTCAGTCGTTAACCGAAAAATAAAGTTTAGATATGGAATTAATGTTTTCAAGTAATATAAACTAAATGTGAAATTTTTCCATTTTTAATTTGTCTATCAAGTTCTTGTCCCCTCTAGTTTTTGGGAAAATACGTCTTTCTTAGCCCTATTCAAGCTCGCGTCTTTAGTAACGAATTTCTCATTTTACACTTTAAAAAGGGTTGGTCTTTCGACAGTTCATTTAAAACTACCCAAAACCACAACCGAGGGAGAAAATTCCACAATCCTAACAAGATTACTTTTGTTTTTAAAGATGAACTGGTCGTACAATTTCTAATCATGCTTACCTGTGCGTTTGGAGGAGCTTTTGATAGATTTAAATAAACACTAGAGGATCAGCTATCTTTTGAACAATTCCCAACCCTCATCTCCACCTGCTTCGCTCCCTTATTTGAAAGTCCGGCCCCCGTTTCACACTTTACCTAAATCAAACAACTTCTATTACTGGATCCCCAGGATTAGCAGATCCAAAAGGAGTAATTTCCTGTATTTCGGGTTTCTTTGGGACTAGCTTGACAGCCGTGTCAAAAGCGAGGCACTTTAGAGCCACGATCAAACTACTTTACTCAAACTCTACCAAAGTTACACACAGCTGAAATTTTTCATTTACTTTGAGGCCAATCTCCGACCTTTAATGCCTGATAAAGCTGAAACAGCACTGTTAAATCGCTTCTGTATCGCTCTGCGGGCAAAAATGTTAGACAAATACTGTAAAATGAATTCGCCGTCTTGATTGGCACGACTCAACGCCTGGTAAATTGACCAACAATAGCACTCTCAAGTCTAATAATGTTTCGTCTTTTCACATCTTATTTGTTTTGTGTACCCAGTTTTATCAACGGCTTATAGGGATTTCTCAGTTCTTTGCTATTCTAATTTACAAAATCAAACCACCATCATCTTATTCATATAAATGTAAAAAGACTTTCAAATCTTTTGAAATACGATTATAATGAGAAACGCTCTCGCCAGTCAGGCACGAATTTGACACGAATCGTCCAGCGAGTTTTATTAAGTTCGGCAAATCAAGGACTAAAAATGTCTGCTTTTTAATCAGTTTTTTAACTAAACAAATCCATAACTTTAAATTTCCGATCGTTTGATTGATTCTGTACATCCAAGTTACGGCTAAACACACCTTGATGGGTCCCACATTGGCTAATAAGCCTGGTCTCTTGATTAGCGATTTCTTTCAAGGAAACCGGAGCGCCAAATCATTATGAGATAACAGGGATGCATAAACATACAAAAGTAAAGGTCCCGTTTGCAAAGTAATTAGCTCACCAACTCCCAGGCTATCCAATTATCGAATTCACTTATTTCAAAAGTCGCAGTTGACCATTTCTGCTTGTCAAAATTTGAATACAGGTAGAATAGAAAGTTACTACCTGTAAACACAATATGGTATCGTAGCGATATTAGGTATCCTTCATTTCCTATGCGGAAAGGTTTACTGAGTAATTTAGCAAACATTCACTTGTTAAAATGAAATTGGCTCATGACGGGGTCTTTTTGTTTTAACCGCCACTTTTTTATATTTTTTATTTTTAAAAAAGTTTAATCTGGAATTCGCAAATTTTATTGTTGCTTTGTGTCGTTTCAGTTTTACTGTGAGCAATTTCGCTGCCTTGCTTCAAATTCGACACACTTTCCCGCTCTTTTTATTGTTTTCTTTGTACTAGGAAACTCACACAAATTATGTAAAAGTAACGTTTTTACATTCATTATTTTTTAACTTCTAAGATAGAAAATGTTTAAGAATTTTTTCAAGTCGACTGAAGCAAGAGCCATTCAAGAATTAGACGCATGATTTTCAAATATTCCCAAATTTATTGTGAAAATATTATAATTGAAACGAAGATTTTATTGCTTTTAACTTTTGTATCAAATTAGTAATTTTTAAATGTTTTGTAAATGTCGCTTATCCGTTGCAGTAAGTTTTACGTTCAAATGCAGTGATGTTCACTTACCAACCAAACATTTTTCATCTTGTGAGAATCTAGCCAGCAGTAGTTTAATTTTCTTTCACGTAATTGCTAATTTTTCAATTCAAAAGTTTGTTGATCTTGTTCAACAATTGATACAAAACATCAATCCATAATTTTCCATTTTAAAAATATTCCATAACAGAGGCTTTTAGTGTTTTGTTGAATCAAAACGACGTTTAAAATCTCTTTCTTCAGCTTGCATATATTTTTATTTCATTTTTTCCAACAATTAATTTCTGCAAATGAAAAATCAATTTACGATAACTTAATAATTCTAATTTTTCGAAGTTCTTTAAAAATACTGTTTTTTACTTTTCACTAATGTTAATTTTTTTCAAGCGATTTTAAAAGATCTTAAAAGATCTGGAAACGGACAAAAATAATATTTTCAAAAACTCCGGCAAACTAAACTTTTTTCTTTTCTTTTCTTTTGCTTTTGAAAGACTGTTTTATTTTCCATTACATGTTCGCTATTTCACCTGCTAAAAGTGTTTACAAAATTCATTACGTTTCATCCTTTCAAGGAAAAAAAAACATTGAAAAATATTAATTTTGGTAATGGAAAATTATAACTAGAAAACAAGGTTTTCTTCTGCCTTCTTCTACCAATTTAACATGTCGGCCGTTTCGCCTGCTAATAACTATGTTTAGTAAATTCATCAAATTTCATCCTTTGTAAATTAAACTTACAGTACATTTCCGTATCTATGTACAGAATAATGATTGACTAACTATACTTATTAGCCGGGTCTCCGAGCCATCCTTCCGTTTAGCTCGGAATCGCAGATTAAAAATACATTGTATTGGCGCCAACGTTTCAGTCGCAAAGGTGGATTGGCCTAGACAATTGACCACCCATTTTTGTCCAAAGAGAATATTTTTTTGAAAGTTTTATCGAGAAACATTACCAATAATTATTTGGTTTTCAACATCCCTAGTCACTGCTAAACCATTTTCGCACTTATGTGAAGAATCTAAATGTTAAGAGAGTCGAGTTAGTATATTTGATATCTAGCATTGCAGCATTGTATTTTCGGAACTTGAAAAAACGGAGCAAACATAGGGGTAAAGTGAAATAGTTTTTATTCCTACTTTTCCTTTCTGCTTCTTTTATTCACGTCTATTATGATTAAGTCAAAAGAAAACAGAAAAATACGCAAAAGTTGGATTACAGTAGCCTGGGAATGAGGGCCAGCGGCAAAAAAGCTAAACCTACTCTGATTGGCTGAAACAAAATTTACCGCTTAGCTGGATATATATGCCTATATAGCAAGCAGTTGATGAAATGTTTCATATTAAAAATTACAATGAATCACGTCCAATACAATAGATAGAACGACAATAAAATTCAATAGATTTTTCGATGATACATTACAGGTTTTCCCGTGTACTAAATCATAGCTTGGGTTACCTGTGGCTTATATAGAAAACAAGATGGGAAAATAAGTAGAGTATGAGTTTGTAGTTCTTATTCTAAGGTTGCGTGTCTCTGTGAATACTAAATCATAGTTCGGGCTACCTGTGGTTCACACAGAAAACAAGATGGAAGGGGCATAAGGTGCATTAATTTGTTTTAATATACACCCAATCGAAATATGGCGACCAATTTGAATAACTATTGCTCTGCACTGACTAGCCTCTCATACATGTGAAAACGCTTTTATGTTTCCACGTGAACACGAGGCTAGTCAGTCACTAGTCAGCGTAGAACAATAGTTATTCAAATTGGTCGCCATATTTCGAATCAGTGTAAATCATTCTATTCTAAAAAAGTTTGTGTGTACTAAATAAAATATTGGGCTACCTGTGGCCTACACACATCCCAAAACAAAAAACGAGATGGGAGGGGAGGTACAGTAGTTTGTTACTTGTTTACATGAGTGAAGTCCATATGGAGTGTCACTGAGATGCCTTACGATAAATCCCCTGCTTGAAGCAAGAGAACCTTCCTTTCTCGTAGAATACAGTTTGAACTCGAATCTCAGGGTTGTCTTTATTGACGTCATACAGACAAAAGGTCGAAATGTGAAACTGTCGATTTGTAGAATCTTCGTAAAGCTGAAGTGGACATGATAATGCGACATTGTCGGGCAGATAAAACAACGTATTTCCATCCTGTAGAAGGCGTGTTTCTTGGAGCCAATACTCCTTATCCCACTCGCAACCTTCCCTCACCGTTTGCCTCAAATTTGCAGTGAGAATTTGCTCCGTGCCAATGAAAGTTCCTTGCACGGGAGCAGAGAACGAATCCTTTATCTGGTTATCTTCTGACCAGTACAAGCTTGGCCGACATCTACTATCTTCTCTGATCGCTGTCAAACGCAGAGCCTTCCCATCCTTGCCGTAGAGCATCCCTGTACTAAAACGAATGTCATTATTAGGGAAAAAATTCTCTTGGAAGAACACATCTCCCAAGGTGGGCTCCATCACCGTCCATGCTCCGCCGCCATTTTCAAGAAAGAACGCACGAGCTTTCTTAGAGTTGAGCCTCGTGGATGGATGACAGAGACCTTCTTCGTCGCAGTCTCGATCTCTTTGGTACTCCCAAGGTCCATTCATAGGTCCTTCAGTTAGCGGTTCTCTATCATCGTCATATATGAAGGTGTTCTGGTGCTTCATCTTGGTCATGTCTTCGACCAACTCAATATGCCGTATACTTTTAAAAGACTCGTTAACCTCGCGCGTTACAGGGTTCCATCGGGTCCACCGCCCAAGCCATTTCCTCGCGTTGTGAAGAGAATAGTTCGTCCACATCTTCGTTGGAGCCATTTTTACTTCCATCTTGACGTTTTAATCTTTTCTAAGCGACCTCTGGACGTTTACCTTGGTTTAAACTTAAGAGATGGCGAAAGGGACTTGACTGCTAGACTATGAAGACTCATTACCAAATCACATGAAGAAGTTGATGCGATGGTTGGATTACAAGGTCAAGTTGATCCTCGGCTGCCTATTGTACGTACTGCGTACTACGTACTACGTTTTGATCTCGTGGTACCGAGCTGTCAACTATCGGAGCCTGCAAATGCCACTATTGAAGATATCGTGCCGACCTGAAAAGAGCACTTGAAAGTCGTAGATATACAGGAAGACGAAACAGGTATTCAATATTACTAGTACTTTACTTAAATTCCTTTCTTTCGTACTCTCAAACTTTGAGATTTTCCGCCTTTAATACTTGACCTCTCCCGGGGATGGGGTTGGGTACTCTTGCCCGATTAGGGTAGGGATGTGCCGCTGAGCCCTCTGTTCCCTGACCCTGAAATTCATACCCTGTTCCAGAGTAAGATCACTTAAAACCATACCCATTAAATGACAAGTTAATCTGATTTGCTGTGATGTTTTATTGTATATTAAAAGCCCTTTTCCGGTATTGCGAAAATAGATAACCTGTTCCAGAGCGAGCGGATTTTATATACCCTGTCCCAGAGTAGAATCGCTGAAAACCATACCCTGTTTGGCTCACGTACCCGTATAGCGAATATAGGGGAGTACCCCCCCCCTCCCCACGCGGTTGACCTCTCTACCTCACTCATAGAACCAGCCAGAATGACTGAACGACTATAAACAAAGACTGAATCAGACAATAGTTCAACTAGAGTTCAAGTATTTTACTCAGCTTGCGAAATGCGCAGAGAAAATATCTCCTCGAGCTGAACCATGCAATCAACTAGAGTTTAAATATTTTACTCAGCTTGCGAAATACGCAGACAAAATATCTCCTCGAGCTGAACCATGTACTCTTCGTACATTATTAATCAGGACTAATCACCTTTACTCTCTACAATTTTAATTATTTTTTTAACGTGGCTCAAAACCGTCGTACATGTATTTAGATTCCCTTGAAGATAGTATGTTAGCAAGAGAAAATGAACTAAGAGAAGGAATTCCCCCTATAAAGCCTTGTAACCATCATGTGCACAGTTTGATGCTATTTTTAAACCATTAGTTTTTCTGCACGCGCTTTACGCTGTTTGCTTACGTTTTTGTTTTTTTTTTTTTTCTTCGTTATTTCAACTCTGCCCTGGACATGAATGTGCACGTCGAAAGCTTGGCAAATACGACAGGAAATTGAAGTAGTCATTTGCCCAAATTTCTGGAGTATTTTTACATTTATTTTCCAAAGCTTTCGACCTACATCGTCATCTCGAGGGCAGAAAACGTTAGCAAACAGCGTAGAGCGCTCGCGTACTATGCGCGTGCAGAAAATTAAACGATCAAATAAATAATACCATTGGAAGATATTTTTAGAATAGATTCTAAAAATAGCATTAAAGTGTGCACATGATGGGGCACGGGGATTCCTTCCCTTAGTTTATATTCTCTTGATGTTAGGGAACACAATATTTCTATTGAACTAGTCAAATATTTGAGTTCATCAGGTATAAGTTAAGTGTCAGTCACGAAAATCTTTTTTTTTTCCCCAAGAGAAAAAAGTGATGTACATAACTATGACTATTGAGTGGCTTCCATATGAACCAATCAGAGAACGAGAAATTTCAAGCCGTCCAATCAAAGTGCTAGCCCAAATAGAAAAGCCATTTGAGAGTTATTACCTCGCGCGTTACAAGGCGGTCATGAATCTACTTCATGTGCTTCTACTCAGTTTTTCTTAAAAATTCAGTTGGTCGACAGGAAAAAAATTGGGGGAGGGGAGAGTGTGGCTTGAAGTGGTAGGGATGAGGCTTAAAATTGTATTCATGCAATTTTCATGGCTTGTACAGGAAGACTCACTTGACATGTCATCAAACGCGACGAAAGTCCCTCAAGGGCTTTTGAGAATTTCACATTTTGGATTAAGATCATCCTTCACTTAAGGAATACAGGTCTAGTGAATATAGATTCATTTATTTATAGCATGAATATAATTACGCCGCTAATCTCTGCAACTTGCTGCGGATCGCCTGATGGTCCTTCCTGCCATGTTGACGCGGATCACGCGATCGCTTTCCCGGGATCACGTGACTCAGTCCAATATTTAGGATTAAAAATCACGTAATAGTGCCAACATGAATGAATGATCACGTGATATAACCAATATGGGCGGGAAAGGAATCACGTGACTCAGTTCAACATTTGAGACAAATTCCATGGCATTGATCACGTGTAAAACTGAACAAAGGAGTGCACAAAACGAGTGGAGATTCAAGTAGTTGGTGAAAAAAGTTTATTTAATAGCCGTTCAATTTTCTGATTACGAAATGCACTGCATACGGACAAGATTAGGTGTTGTTGAAAACAACAAACCAGTGCATAACAAACAGAATTCAAATTTTTGCGCCAAAGATCGTTCTCTTGTAAAATTGCGCGCGTTTGCAGCGTTTACCATTTGGAACAATATTTTGATGAGGCAACATGTTGCAGGTTATTGAACGACCCTCAAAACTCAAAACATCGATTCCCATCGATTTGTGTTGCGGCGCGCGTCATGTTACATGCACGACACCAACTTTAAACGCAACAGTGTTGCGCTAAAAATCGTCTCGTGTAACATCCCCTTAAAACAATCCTACTTTGATCTTTCCTGACTTAGCCAGAGGGAAAACAAACTTTTGTAATAAGTGGTTAAGGTCCTCTTTGACCTATAAAACAATACAAAAAAATCCATTTACATTACTTATTACTAAGCAAGTGGGAAAGATTCGCGCAGAATCCTTCGGTTTTCAGTCGAGACCAAAAGGAACGCGGGCTTTATGGAGGGTCAGCGGTCTTACCTCAGGCATGTCTGCGATGCTTCTAAGTTTTTGATCTCTCCAAGTCCAGTCAATAATAACATATTTGGTTTTGCTTGTCTTTAAGGAATCTGAAATGATGAAATGACATTAGAAAAATGCTTCAACACATTTCAACTGCGCAAATCCAAGGTAAAATAAATAAAATTAAACTTTGGTAGCTTCTTCAGCAACGTTCCTGGTAACATTTATTTATCCTTCACTTTCTCATAACCCACAATGCTTTGCGACTTGGGGGTAAGCGAGTTATTAGCCGCTATCATGATTGTCATCGGTGTTTTTATCTACTGAAAGAAATGGGTAAGAATGACTTACCTTACCTCTGCTTAACAATCGAAAAAGGAATCCTAAACTTATATTTTATTTAATAGTAACCAATACAGTCAACTCTCGTCTAGCGAACACCCCGATATTACGGACACCTTGCTATTACAGACAGGAGAAAAATCCCTGACAAAAATACTCACAAAGAAATGATCGTAAATAATTTTCATTATTGCGGACGCTCGCTATTACGGACATGGAGTGACGGTCCCGAGGGTGTCCGATGTAACGTGAGTCAACTTTAAACATTGAATATCTGGCTATATTATACATACCATTTGATAGTAGCTTTAAAATACGATTCGGTGTTCCAATACCAAGATGTACGACGTGGGAATCGAGAAACTTTATCTGTTCCTCTATCTGTGAAACAATATTGCAATATGATGAATGATAATGACTTAAGAGTTCACTTTCTACTTAAATTTGCTGTGGATTCTGGAAAAATATTTGCGCAAAATCACTAACTAACCATTAAAACAAATAGCTACAGTTTAAGCAGGGACGGATCCAGGGGGTGTCCTGTGGTGCACAGGACACTTCTCTAATGCCGTAGCTATTCTTATGCTTTTTTGAAGCGATGCATTATATCTCTATACACATTTGTTCATGTAGGACACCCCTAACAAATTCCTGGATCCCCCTGATAAGTTCGCAAGAAACCATGGGTAGGAGTGTGTGCAAAGAGAGAGCACACAGCATGCACACACACTTTAAGTTGCATCATTCCTATCTAAAATAATAGTTATCGTAATTTGTATTTTATAACAGAAATAAAAAACTTGCTTGCTGTGCTGTGTGGAGTTATAAAGCACTTAGGGATTGGCAGAACACTCGAGAAGTGTTGAGAAGCACTCTGCTATGCGTCGTGCTTCTCCAATCATTTCTCTCATGTTCTACCTATCCCCGCGTGCTTCATAACAGCACACAGCATGCACGTGCGTTTTCTATTTCTTCAATTCAACTCACTTTAAAATGTTTAGCAAACAGTTTCACTGTTTTAGCATCACCTTTGAATTTTTCAAGGACCCTAGGAAAATGACAAAAAAGTGATAAAAAGAAAATTAAGCAAAGCACACATTTGACTGCTGTAACATTCAGTATGAATGTCAAGCAACATAAGATTTTTGAAAAATATTTAAATTTTAAAATGTTAAAGCCTTCTACTACAAATTTCACTTTCACATCCTTTCGTGCAATGCAACTCTTGTACCCAAATGAAAGAATGAAAATAGTCTACACTGTGTTGACAATGGTGATTATGATGATAAATGATGCTATAGGTTGCTATTAATAGACGTCCCTTCCGGTAATAGCTGCGTTTTTAGTGGCTTGTAGAATCCTGAAGGTTGTTTTGATCTCTTGTTTTCTGGTTTCATGTCGTAGAAATAGTCAAATACAATACTTTTAGGACTTATTTTGACATGTTTTGACTTAACATCCACTAGTTGCCCCTAAGTCAACCGCTTGTTTGCCCCCCAGTCAACTCCAAAAAGTCATGTGACTGATAGTAAGCAATTGATGATAAAGATGATGGTGATGATAATGATGATATCTGCAACATTAGAATACAAGGCTAAAAATAACGTCAAGTCAGAAACAATGTATAACAGGGCCAAAACTAATTCATCATGACCAGACTTTATTTTTAGCCCTGGAATAATAAACACTACCATTGTTTATTTCACTTACTTGTTTAACTCCACTGCTCTTGTAGCAGCAGAGGTGACAAAAAGTAACAGTGGGCTTCCTGTGGTTTTCTTTTTGTTCATTTTTTCAACTTGCTCTTTCCAGTAAGGAATCACTAACAAGAAACAGATTTCCATAAAAAAATTCCATATCTTTATATGAGAAGGGCAGCCTGCCAACATCCTAAAAATGTCTGTGGGGAGAAGGGGTGGGGGGGTGTCTTTCTAAGTGAAGAGCGGGGGCTTTAGATTGCTAAATAAAGGCAAGATAGTATCCATATAAGCTAATTATTGGGGTGCTTGTGATGTCATAGCCACCTTTTTTGGCTGACTTAACAAAATATTTGCTTTTTATCATGTCAACCAATTGGGTGGCAACATCTTTCATCTTAATCTTGAGAAGGGACAGTGGTGTACTGAGAGTGGTGCAACCACACCCCATAAATTGTTGATTCAACCTGTTGATATGGCAGGGAACTCTAAAGATGAAGCACATACACATGTATATTGACAGGAAAATGGTACATTAATCCCCCCCTATGGCTGAGACCTCACTATGCCACTGTAAAGGGATGCACACCACTCATATTGCAAGAGGAATGGCTATGGATATTTTATGAAAACACACAGTAAGAGGGACAAACCTTTTTCTAAATATGAAGGTAGTTCTGACACATCTCCAGTGTGAATGGAATCTTCAGTTAAGCAACAGGAATCTGGCACATTTTATTTTCAAAATATATTAACAATTAATTGTTTAGAGAACAATTAAACTTGAAAAATTATAGAAAAGTTTCAGAAACTATTCATACATAGATGGACATTGAAATTTCCAAGGGATGAGAAGAGCATCTTTGTACTATATTCTCTTCTTATCATGAAGAGATAACTAGCTTTATTACATCCATTTTGAAATCACAAGCAAATCCTGCAATCTGATTGGTTCCCTGCAGCAGTGATTTCAGC